GGAATATCTTGGCATACAAAAAATAGAACAGCAATGCATTTAAAAGCAGAATGGAAATGTGTTACTGGGCTCCAAGATCTAATTTATTAATGCATTTAGATCTTGATCTGCCAGAACAATTAATGAGCAATGTATCCTCTTAGACATGGAAAATCTGCAGACCTGAGCTAGCCCTGATTTACGTTCATACTAAATATGGCTACATGGTACTTAGCACATTCATATGGGCATATAACACCACAAGGCCCATTAAAAGTCTTGGAAAAACTTATTCAACATGTAGAGTCTCTGTTGTCACGTACAGTGAGTCTGCAGCCATCAAAAGGAGCAAGAGTGAATGGTACTCTTTTCCACTCATTTCACCAAGTCTGTATTACCTGGCAACACAGACGGCATCTCCAGATTTCCTTTATTACTATATTATACCTAAGTATTCTTCAGCTAGTGTTTTCTGTTTTGAAGAAGTACAATACACAATTCTTCCAGCTTTACAAGCAAGAAGAGATCCGCAGATCGATCAAATATTGACCCAAAACACTGATTTAAACACACACACGAAAAATCATTTTCTTTCTTTGAATTTCACATAGGATGATTGATTCAGTCAGGATATCCGTGAGCAAATCTCTCCAAACAGCGTTTACATATGCAAATATTGGCTCAATTGTATTCTGTAACTCACAAAACTGCTCAATACCAAAGATGTTCCTGGGAATGACTTGGTATCCTATATACAAGACTGTAGGTTGGAAAAAAAGGCACAACTTGTTGTGTATGTCAAAAGACCCATTGTAATCTTTGTGTTCACAGGTTTCTAACTGAAGTTGAGCCCATGGGGTTTTTTTGCTGGTTAGGGACAACTTTTGCAGTGTGTCAACTGGTTTCTCCTTTGTACCTTCAGTAAACAAAGGGAAAAACAAAAGCTGCTCCATTGTACTGAGCTGTGCTTAGAGAGTAAGAATGTCACCATACATTTAAATACACAAGGACCTTCTTTGATAAAATGCAGTGTTTCCTTGTTCAAATACCTGTTTCTGCTAAAAGAGTTGTTCACTGAGAACAATGGTTTAAAGATACCCTATTTTCATAAATATTTAAACACAGTATTCTCTCTGTCCTTGAACTTTTCACACAAGTATTGGAAAGTGCTTTCAGTATGACCAAGTGCCCTCTGGGTTGACCTCTCATGTTTACGATTCAGAAACTCTACCACAAAGAAGCATACTCTTTCCAAACTACTGTCAGACTGCAGCATGCTAACAGCACTTATAGCACCATTTCTCCCTTACCACTTCTCTTTTCCCTTCTCTGTAGAGAATGCTAGAGATCCCTTACCACTTCTCTTTTCCCTTCTCTGTAGAGATGATCACCTATGGTGCTATTCCCATTCCTTTTTACTCGTTTTCAGCTCACACACGAGTGTTTAATAATACTTCTAATCATGTTTGTTTGTTTCTTGAATGTATGTATAAACGATTTTAGGAAAGCGCCTGTAAGGATGGATGCAGCCAAAGCCAAATTCATGTGAAGCCTCTGCCCCAAGCCTCATGCCCATGCTCCAGTCAAACGCAAGTTAGCTCTGATTCAGAAGCTGTCTCAGTGGAGCACTGCACTAAAGCTAACAAGTCCTGCTACTAATCACATCCTTAGTCTTTTTCTGTTTCAATGAACTGTATTTTCTACATTTATCTCACAGAAAAAACACTGTCAAAAAGAAAAGGTGCTGGATTGGGAAACAGAAGACTTGATTCTATCCCTGTTTTGCTACTGACTCTGAACGAGCCGGGCTACTGATTCCTATCACATCATTTTTCTGCCTTGTTCATTTACACTGTAAGCTCTGCAAAGCAGGGACTATCTCTTACAAACTGTTTGCAAAGAGCTTCTTCACAGAAAGGAATTCTGAGTTCTCCAGGAAAGGGCAAGCCTGCACTAATATAATGCTGCTTCTATTATCAGTAGTATATTTCAAATTGTTTGCATTGAGCAAAATTGTGTATCAATAAATATTACATATTTTGCTTCCAGAAGGCTTGTTAACTAATTTTGCCATTCTCAGAGGTAAGGACAATATTGTTGTAAGCGGTCATCTCCCGTTGCAACACCTGAATGTTCCTGATACACAACTACCTCCTGCTTATTCCTTTGGTGACTCTGTTATGGTTTTGTTCTTCTTTCACCCTTATGATTGCCACAAGAAGATCTTACCACTGTTCTCATTTATTCACGACAGCCTTCTGAAGGAATGCCTATTTTGGGTATCTATTAATTAATTACTTCTATTCATTCCAAAGTGAACTGTAGTCAGCAGGGAGCTCTTCATCATTCTTCAGAATATTTAGCACCCTTAAAGTGACACCATTTGCTGCGCTTTTAGGAAGCAGCTTATTACTCTAATTCCTTCTTATGAGATCCAAATTTGCAGGTCTCGTTCTTCATCCAGCCATTACCAGTCTTTCCTTACCATGGCTCTAATTTCATTACTTGCCCCTTAGTCACTAGCTGAGATACTGCTCTCCCCTGTGCACAGCTGAATCACTGTCTAATCTTCCTCTTTTTTCAAGGACAAAACACTTTTCTGAGGTACCAAATTAAATGTCTCCACACATATTTCACTTCTATCCTTCCTACAGTTTTTTACTGTTGTTGTTGATATAAAATTACTTATTTAAGATCTCAACTTGGCACTTTCTTTCTTATAATAATTTCTCTGTAATGTTTGTCCATTCCAGCTTCATTTCTTTTTTACAGGTTTCAGCTACCATGAAAGATTTTTCCTTCTCTCCAAACAGGAAAACAAATGCAGCTTTCACATTCTCAGTTATGTTTTGTATCAGCTGCCTGGGATCTTAAAGTAGCTGTCAAGCCAAATCTAGTTGTTCTGTCAGCTGTGAAAGCAATAACATTTGCTATCCTAGAGTATTTCCTATATCCCTGCAATACTCCGGCAATTATCACAGCTTTTCCCATGTCCTTTATAATCTCATTATCTGTAATACTATCAGTTCTCCTTCCTGACCTCTAGATTCTCCCACAGTATCTTTACGAAAAATGGAAGAACAAAATGGTCTTACTAGAAATTCTATGTTACCATAAAATAAAATAACTTAAAAGCATCAGCTGAGTATAAATCTGTGTTGCATTTTTCTTATTCTGCATGCAAGTCTGTAGGTCTAGACAACAAGAGCTAATTAATTTGCTTGTATGTGATGTTAAGTCTGAAATTACAGATGCAACATAAAAGCCAGCAGTTAGTATTTCACTAGTACCCAAGTTTTACTAGCATTCAGCTGCTTATGCAAGAAGCCCCAAACACCCTACCATGGGAACTCAAAACACCTCAAACTATCAACTGTTCTGCTGCTGCTGACAAATTTTCACAATAAAAAATATGCATACACAAATATATGTCAGAAAAAACTGCAAGCACAGAAGCAGAGTAAAATACACTTAATTAAATATCAAGAATAAAAAATGTAGTTGATATACCACTGATATTAATCACTGCAATGTTTAAGACACATAAATACAGAAGTATGGATTATGGCATCTGAAACAGTTTTTGAACAATTTATCTGCTTTACAAGCTGAGAGTCAAAGCAACGAGTCAAAGCAATACAGTTTACTAAATAGTAAAAAGTCTTGACTACACATGGTAATTCTGACATTCCAATGAAATTAAGTCATCAGCAGGCCTGTATATTAGGAAAGCAATTTTTAATTTACCTTGGCAACAGATCGTATGTTGTGGCCAATAACAAACTTGGTTACAAGTACACAACTGGGCACAATATCTGTGTTTCATGCTGACATAAAATGGCAGTAACACCAATACCTACCGTTTCCCAGGAAATGCGAAGTGGTTCAGAAGCTTCTGACAGAACAACACAGACACCCAAATCTAGCACTGGCAACTGACAACTTCTCCAGTTCTTTTTTTTTTTTTTATCCTTACATTTTCATGTACATATTTTCTCATGTAAGTAAGTGAAGCCCACTGCTGTTTATGCCATTAATATATGTATCAACACAACATAGGTGATGCATTGGAGACTGACAAAAATTCTCATTTCTGCACCTTCCTTTGTGTGCTGAAACTCCCCAAAACCCTTTGCAAAGCAATAAATATCATACTCAAGGAGAAATAGTGATAGGTCATCAATACAATACTGACTTTCTGCACCAAGGCTTAGCAGCCATCCTAAGTACAGCAATACTTCTGAAATATGAGTGCCAATTAATCTGAAATAGTCCTGCCTGTGAGGAATCTTTCATATAATCACCTGCACTGCTAAAGGTAGCAAAGACAAGGAAGAGAAAGTTGAACCTATCTTTCCATGCTTGCTACTGCTCACCACAGTTGAACACCCCTCTGCCTTTATTGGAGAGACGGGTTGGCCAACCTTCAGGAGCTGAAATTCAGGTCCCAGCTCCTCTCTCAGCTTCACACGTTTATGAATTCAGTGGCTTGGAGTACACTTCTGTGGGGTTTCTGATCTGGAACCATCCTTCCAGCAGCACATTCCCATGTGCATGCCTGCAGCAGCACATGGAGCAGCAGCAGCCCTGTAGCTATCCTCCAGGGGTCACAATTGGGTTACAAATTCTGTAAAATGTGATGACTGTGCAGCCTGATTTAGAGCAATTTATTCACATCCTTCTTCATTAAGATTCAAATGGAATAAGTAAGATAGAAATTGAACAGATACAGAAATTGTGCATGGCTTGCTTCTGTAGTCAGTAAACATTTATTCACTAGGCACAGCTCTCTCATGCTCTCTCCTTGTATTCTCTCTCTTCCCCTATCCTTCCTGCTTGCTGTTTTAATGCATAATTAAGAAGGTCAGAATTAATGAAGCAGTGTGGAGTAAAGTTCAAGGAATCCCCAGGCACTATTTATTCTATTAGATCTCAGGCATGAATGTCAGATTGGCAGCATTAGAGGCAGAGGCAGTGTAGCTGGCAGCAGTCCAGAAGTGAAGCTACCAGGGGAGACTTACCTGCAGTGTCAAGTCATTGCTGAGCTCCCTCCCTGCGAAAATCACCCGCAGCTGGTCAGCTGGAACTCCCTGTCGCTGGGCAACCGCCTCCTTCAGCTGGAGGATGCTGGCGTCCGAACCAACCTCCACCGGGAAGCCATGGCTGGAGTTGAACCTGACAAACACTGAACAAGAGCAAAACACCTTTTAGAGCGAGCCTTTCTCACGATGCGTTTGTACTAGAGTGACTACGAGAGGCTTACTCTTTAATTGTACTATTTTCAGAGAAAAGCTATTAATCCCGCGGTGTACCATGTTGAAAGGAGGAACCGAATGAGATTTCCCATCACAGAACAGTGACCAATAAATAAAAACCATGTGTTTCCCCTTGGCAGTGTTAGAAATTACAGAGTACAGTCATAATCAAAAGAGACCCAGCTAGGCAGATGTCTAAGTAGTCGCTAATTGGCACAATAGATTTTCAGCTCAGTCCTAACCTTAGCGGGCAAGGGGCACACATGCTTTCTGTGCCTCTTGTGCACATCCCCCTGCATATAGCAAATAAATGCAGGAAAGTGAGGTGTGCTTTAGAGCCAAAATGCACTAAATAATACAAGCGAAAACAAGTCCTTGTTAGACAGTAAAGCACAGTCATATAAACTGGTTTCCCACAGATATAATTCTACAGAAGATAATGATGGAGAGAAAATCACACGCAAGCAGAACTGTTTGGGAGTGCTGTATTACAGCACGGTCTTTTCAGAGTTCACTAAAATATCTGCAGTACATAACTCCTCCCGGCATCCACCTTCCGTGCAGAAAATCACCACTGCACCAGTCATATCATTTTTAGAGCTGCAGCAACTGGTTTACACGTCCAGAGAAGTCTGGCAAATAAACTCATAAGCTTCCTGCCATTCAGCTGGCAGAGCTGTTTTTCATAAGGAGCCTGGATGTGCTCATTGAGCCCACGGTCAGCGGAATGACTACAAGAACTATGAAACAGGAAAAAACCTCATTACACTCCTATCAGTCACAGAGATTGTGTGAACGGCCGACACGTCCCCAGTGGACCACTTCAACCAATAGCTCCACAGGCAGGAAGCAAAGGAATTAGCAAAACCCAATAAAAAACAAAAAATCATTTATATCAATTAGATAGTGGGTACCTGTCATCTAAACTGCTCGGGTATTGATTGTAACAACCAGTTACAATCTTAAAGAGATTTATTTCTCATTACCACTGCAATGTCTTAGCTGAAGATATTCCTTTGCATTTTTGGTGACGGACAGAAGCATAACTTCTAAAGTATTTATACAGTTTAAAGAAATAACAATTTTTAAAACTGAAAATTGGTTCTTTATGATTTTTCAAACACATAAAGTTTACCTGAGCACTTCAAAGTTTTCAGATTCTTTAAGAGCATTTGAATATGGCTGAGAACGCTGCCATTGTTTTGCTGAGCAATGAATGTGTAAATATCTGCGATTTCACATCTTCCGTTCATACACCAATAAACCAATTCATATACCATATACCAATAAAATTTTAAACAAGATTTTAAGTTTTTCTCTTGAAAATACCCTGTTAAGGTACTAAAATGCAGGGTAGGATTGCATAATGCTGTGTCAGGCAGGGTGCAGTACATATGCCGTGCAGTGTGTTAACAGAGTCTCCTGTAGCACATCTCGTTACTGAGTTTGATTTCTATTTAAAGGTGTTCTGCAAATAACTAAACTGTGCAAGCCCTATATTCTGACTGCTCAGGAAAATCAGTGGAATTTGAATTTTATTTCGATTGTGGTTTGGAGAGTAAAGGGGGACTTATATGATAAAAAGTAGTTCCAGCTACATACATACATAAATAATGGGAATTGAACATTTCCCATCTTTCCAGAACACTCATAATGCTCAACTGTAAATAACTTTACTTGGGCCAGTAGCAAAACATATAGTTACATCAATGGGGAATATACTTTTTTAATATGCTAAGCTCTATCTGACTGTGTGGATTTTTTTTTTATTCATTCCTAGAGGTATGCTCTTATACACACATAAAACTCATACATGTGCATCCCCAAAGACTTATTCCTAACAAACAAATAATCCTCTTTAGTCTTATGAAACCCAGTGCTATTGGTTTTGGAAATGAAAAAAGTTAGCAAGTGCATTGACTCTACAAATCAAATGTGCTGGTAAGAGGAAAGTGCTTGATAAAAGAAGCATAAAAAAGTGGAGTATCATTTAAATTAATTATAAAGCGGTGCTCATTTTAAAGACAATACAATTCCAATACATACTGCAAGTGTTATTTATGTTCATCATCAACAATCCCCACCCTTCCTCTCAAATAAGGTTATTTTTATTCACTTCCAACAGGTAAAGTCTCCAACTTCTGACATGTATCAGGTAGCAAAAATTTCAGTCTTACAATTGTAACCACAACCAAACATGGGAAACAGGCGTGTGAGTGCAATATTTTGGACTCCACAGCAAAGATTACTACACTCTTACAAGCCTGAAGAGCTAACACAGAAAAATGCTAGAATGACAAACTTTGCTTGCTAGTTCTAATCTACAAGTATTTTTCACTTAAACACTTTTTCCATTACAAACTCTGCATTCCACCAACTCTTTAAAAGAGCAGAAGGGAGCTTTGCTTACTTGCACAGAGCATAAAAAGATTAAATACAAAACCTCATCTTGTGGAATAAAAGCAGAATTTCATCAACATAATATTTCAATCTGTCTTTTTAGGAAAAAAGAAACTTTTTTTTTTTGACATTTCAACTCGATAATTAAATCATCACTATCAAGTTGATACTCTGAACAGCATACATTATTCATGAGATCCCAGGTGAAGTTATGCAGACATTTGAGACCTCTTCCAAAGAATACATACTTTGAAAAGACTTGGAAGTTTGTGTACTGTACTGAAAGTTAAATAAATACCGGCTTAACAGAAAATTAGAGAATTTACCTGAGGCCTAAACTGCTGAAATCCAAAAGAAATAAATCAAGTTACTCAAGTTCAGAAGTAGCAAAACCAAGCTGAAGCAAGGAGGCTCCATTTGGATGAGCTCTCCTACTCCCACATCTATAAGAGGTGACAAACAGTAAAATTTGTCTGACAAAGGAAACTCTCTGAGACTTGACTGTCATGCCAGATATAATCTCTGTAAATATCACAAGGATCTGATTCCCGGGGGATCAAGAGGTACTTAAGTGCTTTTGTGAATCTCTCTCGGTACCTATCTGAATCTCAACATACCTTTAAAATCTCAGTTTTAAATCCACATATTTTAAGCAGAGTACTGAATGGAGGAAAGTGGTATAATTGAAAGAGCGAATAAAAAAAGAAGTATATATATAATTCACAGTGTCTTTCTAGTATCTAAGGTGTACGTCTTCATGCAATAATTTCAATCTTACATTTAATGAGTTGGAGAGCATTAATCTCTTGCTTGAAAGGATCAGCAAGTGCTCCATAAGGGAACAGTTACAGATCAAGTAACTTTTACATATATCCAGAGGAATTTCCCATGTTTCCTACGGAAATACCCATTTTTTCAAGCATGTACCTACACGGTAAGAAATTTTTTAGTCTGGCATAAGTTCCCAAGGAATGCAACTTCTTGGCTTTTAGCTGATTTATAGTCAAGTGATTGTAATAAAATTAAGAATTTATCGCCTCTGAAGTGACTTGTATTAATAAATTCACGTACAATGAGCCATTTCATTCATATGAATACAATACAGAAATGCACCAGTTCCCAAATAAAGTATTGCTGCCCTGAAGATTTCATGTTTCACAAACAGTATGACACATCATTGCATCCACTATCAAAGTGGAGTCAGCAGCACTATTCAATCACTTAGGATACATTATGACAAATAATTTTTCCCCATGAAGTAACACAAGAATTGTTAGTGAAAGAAACAGAAGTAAGAGAGGAAGACTATGAGCAAAATCTCAGGTAGTTTAAGTACTGCCCTCGACCATCTGCCCAGCCCTTACACTGGAGGTTGCTACACATAAAACCGAGATACTGAAAGACACGTGTAGCTGCATCTCAGCTGTGCCTGGTTACAACTCAGCATGTTAGTACAAATTTAATGGGAAATTTAAGCAGATGCAGATCCAAACTGGCTAAACTCAGACACAAGTGCATGGGGCAGGTGTGCAGAGGAGTCGCAGAATTTCAAGTGAAGGTTGGAAGAAAGCTGGTGGGCAGGCAGCCCTGCCAGGATCTCAACAGCTCATTTCTCAGGGCTTTGGGTTTCAGCAGCCTTTCTTCTTCAGCAAGCCATACCATTAGCGCCAAAGCTTTAATCCCCATTGTCATCAATCCTACAGGTTTCCAGTTCTGAATTGAAACGATAAATATTGCATATTGGAGCATCTTAGGCCCTGCTTGTGAATAAACGGAGAAGGCAAAGCCCTGCTATATGGAACCAAAACAACTGAACTGTGCCAAGAATGAAAAAAAAAGTTGCAGATGTTTTTACATTGCTACATGTAAAACACAAATTTTCTTTTTAGCTTTCAACATGAAATAGCCAATTCTTTTTTCTTCCTGAAGTAGTGAATCACAAAATCCTGCTTTGCTACACACCAAAGAAAAGCTATAATCTACAATAAATGATCTGTGGCAACAGAATGCATGCATTTATACTTTAAGATCTTATTGCTGAGCAATTATATTGTGTCCATGATAACTATGACAGCTTCAAGTATTCTTAATTCCCCATTCTTCCTAGGGACAAAAAGAATAAAACCAATATTTTACCCAAGAACAGTGTGAAATATATGAAACTTTTTTGATTTGTAAAAGCCCTTTCCCTGCTGAGGTCAGATGACAAGACCTTTGAAATATATTTCCGTAAGACTGAAAAAAAAAAAGTCTTGTGACAGTATCTGTCTGTGGTGATCGGTTCCTCTTTGGCTCAGCACATGACTTGAGAACACAGTGCTTCTCAGCTCAGAAACCTACATCTGGAATATTTCACACTAGAAAGTATTATCCTTTCCTTTTCAATATTGAATCTTTCTCAGAAACTGTGATTAATAATTTATGGAGTACAAATAACTAGTTTAGTGCAAATTAAAAACACGAAAATGCACAGAAAGGATAAAATAAGGAAGAGAAGGTAGAAATTGAGTTAATGTAAGATCCTCACCACCTGCTAGAGGGCTGTGGAAATGTTCTGTAAGTCCCTCCATTACAGCACAACTGCACATCACCTCTCAAGGCATAGGCTGAAGGCAGCTGTTCTAAGTATCTTTTTTATTTCAATAAATAAAATAAAAAAAATTCAGATGCCCCAGGCTCTCTCATCCTCAATCATATGGCAAGATACTCTTCCACTATTTTAATCTTTATATTTAATCAACATAAGATACATTTGTAGGCACTTTATAAACCTCGAGTGAATGTCAGTTGCTGCCTGGAATTTCTAGAACCACAGCTGTAGAGTATACGTAGTGTGAGGAACTAGCAGCAGAACACAATATAATTTGATGGCAGCAAATCTTACTCCACAACTTTTTATTGTTATTTCCTGGGTTTCAGTGTGTCAAGGGAACTGGAAAATGGGAAAGAAGTAAAGCAAAAGATGAAGGAGGAACAAAAAATGGAAAGGAAAAGATGAGTTTGGGAGACTGTGCAAGCTGAGGTCAGGTCTGTAAAGGAATAGCTCGGTGTCGTGGCAGGCTTTTACTAAACAGCCACTCAGCACGTGTTACTGAAAGTCCAACTAAACAGTTAAATAACTTTGTGCAAAATTCTTTGAACTCTCTTTCCACAGTAACTCCAGCAGCCTGGAACTGGTTGCAGTCCTTTTCTTCACAGATTTGTGCATCTAGGTTCCGCATCTGAACAAGAGACCTTCCCAACACTTTTTCCTCCTGGGAACACTGGAGAGCAGGACGGTTCAGTCAGCTCCATTTTATTTTCTACCCTACTTCCGCTACATCACGTCCCACTTTGGAGGCTGCTGTCACTGTCACAAAGCTCTGGCGAACTGGCTTGCCTGATTTTTTTCTTGACATGTGATAAAATAAAATCTCATCAGCACTAGAATAACCAGTCCCCCAGGAATTCATGTAGCCCTTTCATCAGTTAGCAAAAATATCCTGAGCTCTCTCCAAGGAAACTCTCAAACAGATGTCTTTTCATCAAAAAGTTGCCAAATTCTGACAAATCAGAGACAAGTTGAGATAGCAAGATCCCAAGTCTTCATGCCCTTGCACTGAACATCCTGCCAACAATTCCCTTCTTCTATAAAGAGGGAAATCCAACTCGAGAGCCACTGCTGTCTACACAAGGAGTAAGATCGTGTCTCGGAGTTAATGATTTCGCACATTTTAGTCTCTATGGCTGAAAATCAACACTTTAAACACTACCCTGAGATGAGGAGGTTGCCGTTGCAGACATCGATGCATTAGTATCATGTTTTCCTGGCAAAATGGCCTGCTGTGTATTTCGCATCAGGTTCAGACTGACAGGTATATGCAACGAAGTTAACCATGACTTAATGAGTTACCACTCACTGCTGAGCCATGCTAACTGGCAACGAAGTTAACCATGACTTAATGAGTTACCATAGGCATAGGGCCTCCTCGATCATTGCAATTGTGAAATAAAATTAATGCACATTAATGTAAGCCAACTTCAGAGCTGCAGCAGAAAAAGAGCCTACACAGGCAATAACTGGCAACTCATTAAGCTAAGAGCAATTTGGTTGCTTCTGATCATTTGTAAATTACCTTCACCTAACAAATGATTTTATGATGTAGTCACACAGAGGGAGCAATGTAGTAATCTAACATAAACAATGTCTATAAAATCCCATCCTTGGTGAGGTTATTTGTCTCCTTAGGAAGGAATAAACTCTCTCACAGAAACATCTTTAGTTCTAGCTAACACCAAATGAATATAATTTTAAAATTTTCCCTGATTATAAGCTCAAATTTTAAGATTGAGATTTCTGATTTTTTTATTTCCTTTTAAAATAAAAATCAGGATTGGCTTTTATTCAAACTGCTTATGGAAAGCAATACAGTAGTATTCATAAATGCTACATTTGTCCCTGACAACAGTTTCCTACAACGTCATGAGCAGCATGGTGAGTGGACACTCACTTCCATTGCAGGATTTTGGCGGCATCATCTAAAGCTTGTAGGAGGTAGGTTCAAACAGACAAAAATGAGATATTTGCTTAGGCTACTAGCAACAGACCTTCTGAAAGACTCTGAAAAAAAGTGGTAGATGCAGGATGCATAATTTCAGTTCATGGGGAGAAGAAAAACTGGCAGTTACTCTTAAACATGGGCAGTTGAGTAATCTTTCTAATGAGAAGGAAAGGATAATATATACTAGTATGAAATAAATATTTATACTTAGATTTTGAGCTTAGAAGAGCTGTCTTCCAGTCATATGCTGAGACAAAGAGGAACAGTAAAAAGTACCGTACAGCTAGAAATATCATTTTTCCTTGCCCTATTGACTTTCTTTAGAAGAGTTTCTTTGCATACGGTCACTATTGGACACATGGGGTTAAACAGATTCTTGCTCTGAATATGACTATGGCAGCTCTTTTGTAGATGTCCTGGGTTTGTATTTCCATATATGTACTCCACAGAATGTAACACTGAGTAAAATCTTGCAAGCAGGCAGGTTAACAGTTTCCTCCTGACTCTTCTTTGCTACCAAGTAATCCAAACCAAAAATAGAGGCAAATAAAAAAGACAAGAGCTCAGCACTACTCTTTTTCTCCTCCAGAACTGTGCATGCACATGCAGTTGCTTTCTTGTATTGCAGTGAGGCAAATTTAAACTCAGCAGTTCTCACAGTAACCTAATTTTGTTCTAGGAAGCATGCCTCTTAATCCAAAAGACAAGCTAAATTTGTCCAGTGAATTATTTCCTGTGAATAATTCACTCAGTTTTGCTATACCCAAATTCTCTTTAAAGTTGGAGGAATGAATAGCTAGCTAACCCAACACTACAATTACGTTGTCATTTCCTTAAAAAGTTTCTTAAAAATGCTATTTTCCCAGCTATTTTTGTCCTGATTTACTGGATGCTTATGTCAGCACAAAGCTGCCATGAACTTCCTTGATACAGAATCAAGCTAAATTCATGTTTCATTTTAAGTAGATGCATACTGTTCTTTAATGTGCTTGGATATGGATAAGAGTCCTTAAACGACATATTTCCAGCTATATGCTACAGCTTTCTGTATTAATAAGAAGTATTACATTTTAAAATAAAATGTATACTCTTGCAGCTTTTAAATTAACCTTGTCCTGTGGAAGAATGGGACAGTATTTTTGCAAAGACTGCATGAATCCAATGAAATTCATCAGAGTCAGAAAATCTCAAGTAGGACTACTGCAGCAGCTTTAAGGCTTTAAAGGGGACTGCAAGGTGAGGACTGCAACAGTGAGATTCCACTATTTTAACAGTTACACTCATTTGCACTTCCCCAGGAAATTTAACACATTTTTCTTACGGTATCTATATTCTGCTAAATACTAGAAGCATTGGTGGATAGCTGAGGACCCACTCAAACAAACCTATGATAAATATGGCAGCTGTCAAACTTGACTAAGGAAGGAGCTTTCTCACCTCATGAAGTTTGTTAGTTGTTCACTATAGGACAAATGAGTATAAAAAAATTATACAATTCATATTACAATATGGACAAAAATGGCATATATACCATTGGAATGGCTATGAAGAAACAGATTACCTCCACATATAAAAACTCGAGAAGCTCCAGAGAAACCATACCTACCTACCCACCTACCAATGCAGAAATCATTGTTTTCGCTTTGTTATTTCTACAACAGCTACTACAAATAAAGTAGCCCAGGACAGCATTAGCCCAGTACAAGGTTTTATGCAGTATAGCTGTGTGCATTGCTTGAAGGGAGGGGATGAAGCCAGTTGCTACGGAGAACAGAAACATAATATGGCTTTCCTTGGTGCTTACAGGTCTGATGTTAGTTTTTGAATCGCTAGGTTTCTTTGCTTGATGATGCACAAATTAAATTATATTTCATCACTGAGCACTCAATTTTAAGGCTACATGCCACAGCCTCTTTTTCTTGAGCTTTCCAGATTACCTGTTTTATTAATAAATAGTTCTTTAGTAGCAGAAAAGTAAGCTTTGATGTTCTGGGACAGTCATATTCCTGCCCTTCACCATTAAATGCTAACCTCACCCTGCTTCCTGATCCTTTGCTTTTCTTTCCAACTGTGGGCAACACCTCTCCTTCCTCAGACCAGTCTTCTCAATGGTAAAGTTACTACAAGAGGATGATTGCTCTGCAGAATGGCCTGAAGAGAGACTATCAGGGCACTGGGGTCACTACCAGACTGTCCCTGCCTGGCTTCTCCCAGGTCTCCCCCATGGTGCAGGGCCCTGTGTCGCCCCTCAGGTCTCTCAGCCCCCAACCAAGCAATGCCACAGCAGGGCCCGTGCCCAGACCAGCCTGTTGTTGTTCCTCCCTGGGCTTCTTGCACAGACGTGACCTGACTTGCCACCTCACACTAACCTGGTGGTGGATCCCTGCTCTGTCCCTCACCACAGGCGCAGACACTGCCCTGCCAGGCCCCAGCTCCGGCCGTCCCGGTGCCATGGTGGCACCACCCAGCTCTCGCCACTCCTGGGAAAGGCAGAGCACTGGTAAGCGGAAATGTAACTTTTCTTCAGCCACGGCAAACCTGAGAGTCTCAAAACAGGCTCCAAAATCACACAGGGGTGTGTGTGTGCAAGGAAGAGACCTGCCGGTGGGAGCCAAGCTCCTGTTCCTTCATCAAGACGTGATTTGGCCCAGGTGGCAGTGAGCGGGCAGGGCTGGGTGAGGGGCACTCTGCCCTGCCAGCGCCAGCATGGCCAGCCTTGTCCTCCTCCCACCATCTCACTGACACAAATATGGTTAAACCCGGACTCTCGGGCCCTGCTGGGTGCTCCATCTCTGTGTGGGAGTCCGAGAGGGGATCCCTGGTCTGGCCCAACAGCCCGGCTTTCACACCCCCGGCTCCAGGCAGCCTGCTGCAGCTCCAAAGCTTTCAGAAGGACACACCATTGATAGTTTTGAAAACATTTCAAAATGTCCCTGCCTTTCAACATTTGAAAAACATGCTTTGTTTCAAAGCATACAGCGCTTCTGTAGCAACTTGGAATTTATCCTGACAGGTCCATGTTAAATTATTTTGGCAACATTACATCATGTAATGTAAAGATTAGTTAAAGATCCTAGGTAATTACAATAGCTTTAGTAAAACTATCTTAGCTATTTGCTCCTCTGACAGTAAAATTTAACCCTGCAAATCAAAAGAGACTATAAAATGATGGGGTTGCCAAAGAAATTTGCCACTGTGCAATGGAAATGTATACCCAACTTTTCTTCTGACTTCTTTAAAAAAGAAGTTCCTGTAGCTAAGGTTGAGGATTTACCATATTTCAAAGATAATTTTCCCCTTCTTGAGATTTTCAAAGCTCATCTTCCCTTTGTTAATTTTTTTTTTAACATCTACTTTTGCTATCTACTATCTCACACACACATTTAATACCTCTATGTCCCTGACACAAGAAAACACTCAGCAGCCACTTTTGCCAGAGAAAAGCATATGGCCCAAATTATCTGCCAAAAATAGTCTATCATTCCTACTGTAAAACTGCTAGCTAGCTGGAAAAAAATGAACACATATCAAATATCCCAGCGTCACACCAGAATGCTATGAATTCAGTATATTCTCTGAACACACACCTATTTAAAATATACTCAACAGCCATTTACAATCACCCCTTAATTAGATTAAATGAATAAAAGTGGGTGTGTACATAGATGTAAATAGATTATAGATAGGTAGGGAGAGATATATACAAAATCCCGAATTCAGGATGTTGTTATTTCAGTACGGAGTGAAATCCTTATTCACTGAGCAGAGGTAGACCTGAACTTGCTGAGTAGGATGAGAGTATGGACTCCAGTACTTAGTTCACAAAAAACGCTTACTGGGCACACAACTCAAATACTATTACAAATATGAAAAATTCATGACTCCAAATCTTAATGAAATGCCAAAATACAATAGGAAGCCTCCGACTGATAAATGGTGATGTATATAGTACATCAGCTGAATACAATGATATAAAAGTGGTGAAACACTAAAGACACTGGACAAGAAACTTCACTTACGTTCTGCTTTTTTAAAATGAACACCAAATAGCAAAGATTACGTGGAGCTATGCTGTGGCACAAATTCACTGTGTATGTTTGTTGCCATTTTACCAATTGTCTGGCAATCTGTTTTGCTGGATTTACCTTTATTATCCCATGTATCAGCAACATTGAAGAAGATGACGTAATGATTTCTGTCTCTCTCTGTGAGACCCAGGTCAACACCTAATAAAAGATATTTCTAGGCCTGCAGGCCCATAGTTTTGAGGTATATTTCACTAGAAAACTAAGAAACTACAGGATTTTTTATTAAAGACTGAGATGGCTATAAAAAGTAATTTTACCATTAAAAAGGAGGCCTCATAATCTGAAGTTTTAGCTTATTGCCATGATAGATCAAAATACCTCAGATGTCAGAGTAAGAAAACTGTTTATCTAGTTCAGGTCATAATTCCCCTGGAATAGCATGTTTCCACCGGCACTGTACTGAAGTACTGAATGTACTGAAGCCAAAGGTTTTGTGGGCATGTACCATTTCATGAATGTCAGATAAAGAAAAGTATTTAAAAGATTTGCTTTGACAAAAGCAAGATCCACATAAATTAAAATGTGAAATAACAGCTGAATTGATGATGACAGGATGAATCAGTTCCTTCTTGCTGAAGTGAAAATTTATTTAAAACAATTTTTAAGTTAAAACATGCCTTTCATTTTTCTTAGATCAAAATTTAGACTTTTTTCCCCAAAGAACAGAAGCTCAGAATTTTCATTCTAACTTACAAGGCATGAAGTGAAAATTTCTGAATGAGCAGAACAATAAATCTGTGTTTGATTACATGTAATTATCTATACATGGGCTATTTTCTACCTTACATTGAAAAGGCTGAAGCTTAGTGAGAGGCAGCAAGTTCAGTCTTGGGAATAGGTCACACAGCTACCAAGAGGTATTTGCATAGCAAAGTTCCACAAATTCTTTTGCAAAAAAACTGTTTTTCTCACTTTATAACTATGGGAAGAAGACAGAAATGCACCACCATTTCTGTGCGGCATGTGCGGTGCAATACAGTCCAAAACAGCAGAATCTATCTTAACTTTGGTTTTAAACACTGATTGGGCTGACCAAGTCTTTCAGGTCTCTGAAGAAAACGTGTTTGGCCAGTATTAAGCTAGAATTTTGGATCATGCGCTGTGTTTCCATTGCTCCTGTTGTCAGGAGGAACGATGCAGAAAGAGCAACGTAGTCTTCTATGGGATTTACTCATTTTCAAAACCTATTTTGAGGCCTGAAAGAACAGGCAGGGTTTTTTGCTGAAAAAAAAACCAAACACAAGTTCTTCATTCTAACTACGAATATTCCCAGAAGAAGATCCATCTCAATTTCACAAACACCTCAATACTTCTCAAGATTTCCTTTCTTTCTGTCTTCCTGATAAAACAGGCACACAGCTGCAACCAGTCACTCCCTGTGCCAGTGCATTTGTCAAGTAGCTTAGAAGGAAATCTCCCAGCACACAAGGCTGAGCTTATGATCAGACAGGAAATTATGGTCTATTATGCAATTTTATTCTTGTCTGTGATTGACTGCACATCAAAGGGCCACTCAATGGCAGCTACTGATACTTGTTAAGGTAAAAATAGTTTTGTAAAAGCAGATGGTGGAAGCAAGACAGCAGTAATTCAGAAATACTGAGTCTGAGTATAGTACACATTATATGAGGCTTTTAAAAATAAAACGAAGGATTTTAACGTGTTCCTTTACAGTCATTACAAACTCTGTGGTATTTTCAGATATAGTGGATGTTTGTCAAGTTCTCCTCATCAAAATTTTCACTCTCACCCTATGTAGAGTCATCTGGGCATCAGCAGCTTTATACCTGTAAATAGGTAAATTTTTTCATAGCATATGCTCCATGCAAAAGCTCTCTTTCTATTTAACCACCCAGTTTAAGAACCAGTGCATCAGAGAAAAATTATGCAAAAAAGCATTATTTTTAAACTAGAAACAAAAGCAATACAGCTGATGCAATATCAGCAGTCCTGACCCCGTGAACCACACTCCGAAAGTACCAGAGGATCAAGAGCCACAAGATTCATTCCACACGCGCTGGAGAAACAGACATGGGGGCTGCAGACCCAGGGTGTGCTGCAGTCCACAGGTGGGACATGACAGTGGCTTTCCAAGGATACCTACCTCTCTACTGAAGGACAGGATGAAGTAGGACATAAAATTGGATCCCTACATACTTTTGGCCAACCTCTCCATGTGCTCATTTTCCACAGCAAGGGATTATCCAGGAGCCTTCATGCAACCACACTTCTCTTAAAGTGTCATGTGCCACAGCCCTACTACAAATGCTGCCTTTGTCTTCTGAGCTGCAACCAGCTCAAGTGCTTCAGGTCAGTCATGCCTGACTAATGAATAAGGCACAAGGGAAGAGAGCCTATTTCCACCACAGAAGCAAATCCATGCTCTCCACAGCAGGGCCAAGATTTCGCTCGATAGGTTTTAAAATTATAAAATGCTATGGGTGTACTATTGCCATCTGGTTGAGGGTACAGAATTTTGAATACTTTAGAATTTATCATATAAATATTTGACTCAGATTATAAATAATTATAAACATGAAATCATAACAGGTTGTTTGTTTTTTTTTCAAAGGGGATTGTTAGTTCATTAAGCTATTAAAAAATATCACTTCTGGGTACTTTTGGTGTAATTTTCTAGCATTTATCTTTTCCCAAGTCTGTGACCAACTACATGTTCATCTCTATTAATGAAAATATCAGCATATTAAAACAGATTGTATCATACTGTAGCTTTGATAAAGACATGTATTCTTTAAAGTACATACCAATGGATACTTGTTAAAAAATACTCTGAATATAAAACCTTACAGAACATTACTGATACTGCCATTCTTATGACAATCAGATATAGTAAATACTCAATTCAAGTAACAGAATAATATTTAATATACAGACTAAAAACATATTATGGAACTGTCAAAACAATTAGCATTCTGACAAACTGATTAATTTTCCCATGAAAATATTTTAGCAAATTTCCATGCATTAAGACTTAATAAATATTCCATTTCAGGAAAGCTAGTATGCAGCATTTTGAATTTTTCCAAGAATGTTCTTTTATTCTTTCAAATAAAGTTATCTTTCAAATTTTAATGCATGAATTCAAAACATTGGCTTTGCATCCCAGTCTAGGATGCTTTTCTTCCAGCCTGTAATTGTAATTTATTTTTTCCCTTTTCAGGATGGAAAATACATTTTCTGAATAGGTATGATACAGACATGCATAAGTTACACAAAAAATAAACCATGAGGCCTTAAATTTAAGACCATTTAAATCCAAATTTAAGGTCTAGAATAAGGTAACTATATATGACCACAATTTTGTTGTGCTTAAAGTACTTTGTTTCTCTCCTGCTGCAGTTTATAAAAGCAAAGCAATGAAAGTAAAATGACGGGTTTAAGTACTGCTTTTAAAAATGGAGGAAGGAGCCTGCTCGTCAGTGCCTACATAGGATATTACTGAAAGATGTGAGAAAATACAGATTTCAGGACCGTTAAGGAGCTGTAGTCATTATTCAGTTGAGATTTCCAGAAGGGCTACACTCTACCTCACTGGCAAATTTTGCCATTCATTGAACTAAAATTTCAAAAAACTCACATTTAATGGTTGTCTGGGTATTTGTAATATTATCCTGGGATACTGAAAAACCTTTTCCAGGTTCTTCTCCAATAAATGAGCAAGCATAATATATTTTTTATATATATATAAGTCCAAACATGCTTATTTTTTTTTCCTTGCTGTCAGCCGAAACTGTGATGGAACTAGGAGGAAAATCTAAATTAAACTATAGTAAC